TCATTACAATAGTCATTAAGCCACAATCTTTTTAAAAATATGCTATCTGGCATAACATAAAAGACAAAGCTCCTCTCAGCACTAATTATTTGCATTCAAAGTACTCAGGTGAGAAAACTCATTGAACAAAGACCTGAAGGACAATATGGTTCAGCAAATTAAACCAAATATAAGCGACTACTGAATAATGTTTCGGTGTGTCAAACTCATGCAAAATGGTGGGAAAATTTTGGAGAATGAATTAAAATTGATAATTAGTGGAACAGAGATAGAACATGTCAGATGTTTTTGCATCTTTAAATGTATTAAGAACACATTAGTGCCATTTTAGGAAGAGTATATGCTAAATAATATTTTGAGACCTTGCATATATAAAATATTAATATTCCTTGCCATTCTTGATTAATATTTTATCAAAATATAGCATTCTATGTCATGAATCATTTTGTTACTGTTAGAATTTCATGGATATTCCCCCCGTCATCTAGTAACCTGTGGTACTAGTAAGAAAAGTAGTGCCTTTTTTATTCTCCAGAATTTGTACCCATGCTGCTTTTATTTTGAGAGTTTTAAATATTTCTTTTGACCCAAGTATTCTGGAATTCCATGTTGACATGCTTTCCACTGACTCTTTTCATTGTCCAATCATGGGATCCTTTAGCTTTAAGCAATCCACTGAAAATACATTAAAAATAGTATCTTTTGCATATTGTCACAATACATATCACAACTGAATGACATGCCTCACTAACATGAGCAGAGAATAGACACACAAATATATGCATACATACATATCCTGAGCAATGATATTAATTATTAGTCAAATTAGGGAGGGGTTTATGAGGAAATACAGAAAACAGTCCAAATACAGAAATACAGAAAACATCAATCAAAATACAGAAAACAGAATCAGGAAATTTTTCTTTTTTTTTTCTTATTGAGTTTATTAGTACATTTTAGGTATACAGTACAGTTACATTCGTCATTGGGATCTTGTGCCTTTACATGACAGGTCTTGGTTCTCATTTTTTCCCCTTGTCCCTGTCCTCCCTTCACCCCCTCCTCCCTTCCCTATTTACAAATACTTTATTTCCATTTTTTCATTTCCTCATGTTTTTTTCTTTTCCCTTATTACCTTTCCCCTACCCTTCCCACTTCCCCTACACTTTTAGCCCTCTTCTTCCTATTTCACATTGTCAATTATATCATTAGGATCTTATGTATCATTACATTTTTTTTCACACCAGAGAAACTTAGGTATTTATACATGTGTGACTTATTTATTTCACTTAGGAGTATATCCTCTATATGTACCCATTTTCCTATGAATGACTCTAATTTATCATTCTTTATGGCTAAGTAATATTCCAGTTTTTAGAAAAATCACATCTTCTTTACCCAGTCTCCAACTGATGGGAAAACTGAGATTCCACCTTACCCCACAAAGAATGGCTGCTCTCAAGAACTCAACCAATAACAAATGTTGGTGAGGTTATTTTCCCCTTCCCTGTCCTCCCTTCACCCCCTCCTCCCTTCCCTATTTACAAATACTTTATTTCCATTTTTTCATTTCCTCATGTTTTTTTCTTTTCCCTTATTACCTTTCCCCTACCCTTCCCACTTCCCCTACACTTTTAGCCCTCTTCTTCCTATTTCACATTGTCAATTATATCATTAGGATCTTATGTATCATTACATTTTTTTTCACACCAGAGAAACTTAGGTATTTATACATGTGTGACTTATTTATTTCACTTAGGAGTATATCCTCTATATGTACCCATTTTCCTATGAATGACTCTAATTTATCATTCTTTATGGCTAAGTAATATTCCAGTTTTTAGAAAAATCACATCTTCTTTACCCAGTCTCCAACTGATGGGAAAACTGAGATTCCACCTTACCCCACAAAGAATGGCTGCTCTCAAGAACTCAACCAATAACAAATGTTGGTGAGGTTGTGGGGAAAAAGAACCCTTCTCAACTGTTGGTGGGAGTGCATACCAGTGCAACCACTATGGAAATCAATGTTGAGATACCTTAAGGAGCTGGGATTAGAGGATCTATTTGACCCAGCCATCCCTCTGCTGGGTATCTTTACAAAAGAATTAAAGTAATTGTATCACAGTGATATATGCACACCTGTGTTTATAGCGGCACAGTTTGTAATAGGAAAATTTTCATAAATGTGATTCAAAGCTCTCTCTCTCTCTCTCT